TCGAGATCTACATTTACTTCTACAAGAAATCTAACATTCGCTGTTCATCATTTTTGAAAAAATTAAAATTCAATTGTCAAAAAAATTAAACCGATATTTTTCAAACTTGATTGTCATTTAAACCACAATACAAAAAGAAAGATTTCCTATAACGCTTCACCCAAACTGTGGAAAGTGATCTTCAGATCTTAATGTTGACGTCACAGCGGTAACATACCCGACACTTTCATCACCACAAGGCTGTAAGTATACCTTTCATTTATTTATATAAATTGTTACTAATTCTTGTTTCTTTTTTCAGAAATTTCCAAACCATGGCTCTACAAAGATGTTCATCGCCAACCCGCACTATGGAGACTTTTCCAGAAGAGGAACTCGATTCCACCTGCAGGGAATACAGAAATTTCGTCAAAAATTTCGAAGAACCCGAGGATTTGACGAAAATAATGACAGTCAGAGGAGTCGGATCCAGGCACCTCCCAGGAATTATTGCTGGAAATTTGAGGTTCAGACGGACACTAATAAGGAGACATCCACCACAGGAGTGACCTATTGGATTGTATATTCGTTTTAGACTAGATATTTGATGTATCCATTTTGATTGTACATAAATTTTGTTTTTTGTTTTATAAATTATATATTATTATAAATTAAATTGTTTAATTTAAAACTTTAGACTGTGTCATTTTCCTAGTGAATGACGAAAATCTTGAAAATTATTTAGACAAAAGCGCGCATCTGAAGTCGACTATTCAAAAAAATATTGAGGGGTTGGAATTCGAGCAGAACTGAAGTTCAACGCTAAAAAGTCCTACTACCACTACTTTGTCCAGAATCACCGAAGTAAAATGTGGCACTTTTCGGAATTTTTAAACTTTTAGTTCATACCGAATATTTCCACGATCTTGATCAGCTGCTATTGTTGATTTCGATCTCTAGAATTGGTTTCTGGTTTAATTTCTTCCAAAAATTCCTACTTATCACCAGAACAGCCAAAATAAATGTCAATTTTTGTGCTTTTTCAAAAGTTTTGTTTGGATTTTTTGACAGCTTTGCCAAAAGTTCAGTTTTTCCAACTCGCCGTATGAAATGTTGGACTTTTCAAAGTTACCAAAAGATACGCTATTGTCATTTCAACTTCCAAAATTTGTTTTTGCTTTCATTTCTTCAAAAATTCCTTTCTTTTTTCCAGAATCGCCAAAAAATATGGTACTTTCTGAGGTTTTTTAAAAATGTCAATTCATTAGCGAATAGTTTGAAAATTTTCGCAGACAATATAAATTTGATGGTATAATCCTAATGTTTGTGACTGTGTTGTTTTGACCCGTAATAATATTTATCAATGCTGTAGAACACTAAAGATCTTATTGTTGGATCGTGTAATCACCCCATAAACACTAGGCCGGGTTTCCAATTTTACCTGCGTTATCGTAAAATCCGCATTGCACAACAATGTAATACCACACCCTTCATTCATATTTCTTTTTTAAACCACTGTAAAAAAATTAAAATTATCACATCAAAATATCAGCAACTTTCACTAAATAATTATTAAAACCTTCCAAACCGAAAACGTCGAGAACCAAGACCCAGAATTTTTTTAAAATTTGTATGCGACTTCATCAAAAGTAAAATTTTTCAAAACATTGAAATTTTTTACCTTTTCCCAGAATTTTCAAAAATTATCAAAAAGGAAACTATTATTTTGTTTCGAGTTCCAGAACTTACCCAAATTATGGAAGCTGTGACACCCCGCCGCCCCGGAATAAGGTGGGGAGAAAAAAGGGTGACGAGGTGGGATGAATAGGGTTGGGGTGTATATAAGGACGAAACAAACCCACGATCTTTAGTTTTAATGTTGACGTCAGAAGGCTAACATACCAGACTCTTCAGATCACCATAAAACTGTAAGTATACTTTTTTTTGACCATTAACATTGTTGTGTTATAATCAAAATTTTTCCTTCTTTCCAGATAGTTCTCCGCCATGGACCATCCAAGGACCTCCACACCAATGCCCTGCCGATGCATGATCAGGATTTCGGCGCGATGTGGCCCGAATTGCGCGTGTTGCAGGGAATACAGAAGATTCATGGAAAACCACCGGGAGCCCAAGAATTTACGGAAGGTGTACAGAGTCAAAGGGGTTGAAAAGACGGCCTGCTGTGACATCGTGGCTGGACATGTCCTTTTCAAGTGCTCGCGGAAATTCCTGAGCTTGAAGGACTTCTTGGCGAAGCTGCGACGGAAGTTTTGGAGGAAGAACAAAACGTTGCGGATGTCGAGGGATATAGTTGATAGTGTATTATAGATGTATATATTTTGTATAAATTTAATTTGTTGTGTGTATTTGTAAATAAAACTGTCATTACTTAATTACTTCTGAAAATTATTTTTTCGCAACCCAAAATACTAATACCTTGTACCATTTGATACTATCTGAATTTAAAATGAAATGCTTAATCCATGACTTTGGCAGGGTCACTTTGACGTTAGTTAGTTTTAACATTACTTTTTCATTTCTATAACCCCATTGGATCGACGTGCCTTTATCAATCTGCGCTATACTAAAGCCGTAAGTGCTCTACCAAAAATTTGTTTTTGGTTTCATTCCTACAAAAATTCCTATCTTTTTCCTTGAATTGCCAAAATAATATATGGTAATTTTTGACACTTCTTAAAACTGTCAATATGAAAGCGAATATTTAGAAAATGTTCATCCGCCACCATCATCGGTTCAGCCAAGTCGAGACCCAACTCCCAGAATATCTTGAGACTCTGTATGCAACTTCGTCTAAAGTTACATTTTAAGTTTTTCACCTTTTCCGAGAATTTTCAAAAGTTACTAAAAAGAAACTATTGTTGATTTCGACGTCCAGAATTTGTATTCGGTTCCATTTCGTCAAAAAATCCTGCCTCTTTCTATAATCACCAAAAGCAAATATGGTCATTTTTACAAATTTCAATTTGAAAGCGAATATTTTCAACATCTTGCTTCGCGACCATAAACACACAATGTTTTTTGATTCAGCTCGTTGAGATTTACCTCTACTTCGCCAAGAAATCTGACATTCGCTGTTCATCATTTTTGAAAAAATTAAAATTCAATTGTCGAAAAATCAAACCGATATTTTTAAAACTTGATTGTCATTTAAACGACAATACAAAAAGACAGATTTCCTATAATGCTTCACCCAAATTGTGGAAAGTGTAGCACCCCGATCCTATTCAACAACCTGGTGGGGTGGGGGGTAATATGGTAGGGGTGCTGCAGCAGGTATATAAGGGCGAAACAAACCCACGATCTTCAGTCTTAATGTTGACGACACAGCGCTAACATACCAGACACTTTCATCACCACAAGGCTGTAAGTATACCTTTCATTTATTTATATAAATTATTACTAATTCTTGTTTCTTTTTTCAGAAATTTCCAAACCATGGCTCTACAAAGAAGTTCATCGCCAACCCGCACTGTGGAGACTTTCCCAGAGGAAGAACTCGATGCCACCTGTAGAGAGTATAGAAATTTCGTCAAAAATTTCGAGAAGCCAGAAGATTTGACGAAAATAATGACAGTCAGAGGAGTCGGATCCAGGCACCTCCCAGGAATAATTTCTGGGAATTTGAGGTTCAGACGGACACCAATAAGGAGACATCTGCCACAGGAGTGACTTACTGGAGTGTATATTCGTTTTAGACTAGATATTTGTTGTATCCATTTTGTTTGTACATAAATTTTGTTATTTTGTTTTATTAATTATATATTATTGTAACTTTATAAATTAAATTATTTAATTTAAAACTTTGTCATTTTCCTTAATTTTCCCACTGAAAGACGAAAATCTTCAAATTCAAAAAAAAATATTGAGCTTGAGCAAGCAGAAGTTAAGTCCAATGCTAAAAAGTGGCACTTTTTGGAATTTTTAAAACTTTCAGTTTATACCGAATATTTCCACGATCTTGATCCACTACCACTGTTGATTTCGATCTCGAGAATTTGTTTTTGGTTTAATTTCTTCAAAAATTCTTACTCATCCCCAGAACATCCCAAATAAATGTCAATTTCTGTGATTTTTCAAAACTTGAATTTGAAAGCAAATATTTCGTAAATCTTGATCTGCCACTATCAACGCCATGTTTTTTTATTCAGCTTATCGATAGCAACATCCCAGAATTTTTGGTGGATTTTTTGGCAGCTTTCAGTTTTTCCAACTCGCCGTATGAAATTTTTGACTTTTCAAAGTTGCCAAAAGATATGTAATTGTTATTTAGACTTCCAAAACTTGTTTTTGATTTCATTTCTTCAAAAATTCGTCTTATTTCTAGAATCGCCAAAACAAAATATGTTACTTTTTGACGTTTTTTAAAAATGTCAATTCAGAAGCGAACAGTTAGAAAATTTTCTCAGTAAACATCTAAATTTGATTTATAGTTATAGTGTTTGTGACTGTTGTTTTGACTGTAATAGATATGTTATTATTGTTTCGTGTAATCACCCCATAAACACCCAGCGGGATTTCCAATTTTACCTGCGTTATTGACTATCCCATCGAAATATAAGCAACTTTCACTTAATAATTTTTGAAATGACGACATGATGTTCTGGAAGGGATAAAAGAATTTAGTTAGAAAATTTTCATTCATTATAAAATGAATTTCGAAAATAAATCCAGATCTAACAGTATTCCTCAATCCAGCTGTCCACAGACCTTTCCTCGATTACAATCACCATAAAAACTTAATGAATCTTTAAAATTGCAAATCCCTTAACCCCATTCCATAAATTAAACCCGCCCAATTAAAAACCCGTAAAAACATGTCACGACACAACTTATTAAAACCTTCCAAACCGAAAACCCTCTAATCCTTCATTTTATTAGACAGGTGTAACTCCATTAAGCAGATTATTCCACTAATCCCCTCCGTCACACTCAGACACCCAAACAATCCAACATCGCAACAGTCCACATTAAACAAACACCAGCGGGTCCAAAGAGCTACCAACAGTCAACAATGTCATTATTCCAAACAATGAGAGCAAACAAGGACGACATTGTTGTGATATCGAATCGCGTGTCGGCTCTTTTGTAGATTAAGGCCAGCACATGTGTGTATTTTCGTAAAACAAGTCCCAATTTACCAGTTTGAGGTCTTCATCGGGCTCTAATTGACTCCGAATGACACAGCAGCCACATGCTGGCCCTCTAATGTAAATCACCGTGTTCATAGAGCGGACTCTAATTGCTGGACGAGATGTGGCGCCAGGATAATGAAAGCTGAGACTCATTACGAGGAAATCGCAGAGGGTAATTAACTCCCTTATTTGGATACGTTATCGCAGACTTTGACTCTAATCCGACAGAGTGACAGTCATTGCGTTCCGGTGGTGGAAGATGGAGCTCAACAACCAAAAATTATTCCTGGTAAGAAAAATCTTGAAGACTATTTTAAATTGTTACTTAAATTTGTTAAAGATGCGTTCGTACGATTGGCCCAAACCTAAGAAGCTTTCACCCTCGGGCCTGGAGCGTTTCCTCCCTCGCACATCCAGCCCTACGCGCGAAAGCTTAACCTACATGGACAACAACGCCCTTCTGGACCCCTACGAGATGTTCCGGACGCGTCTGGACCAACCCCCGCGCAAAGCGTCAGTTCGGGGCATGGAAAAGCCCCCCTATCACTTCATCTCGGGACACTTCATCCCGCCGCCGAAGCCCCGAAAGCTCACACTTAAAGCCAGGTTCGCCAGATTCAAGACCATGATTAAGGCCTTCTTCACCAAGTACTACTGGAGTTTCGGGCGCAACAAGTGCGACTATTGCGTGTGTCCTCCGACCTGCCAGTGCCAGAAAGTCAAGAGCCTGCTCAACAAAACCGCTTTTCTTGACGATGATGAAGAAATAAACGAAGCTCAGTCGAGGGTTAATAATGACCCAAAGGAAAAAAATTAATTTCGTTTTAATTATTGTGTTTGCGAAAAAATTGTTATCGTTAATCTTAATATGTGGGGAATTTGCATAAAAACTTGTAATTCGGTGAAATAAATTCTGTTATCTTTATATCTTCATACGTATTTGCACATGGTTTAATTTAATTATGGTAAAGAATGATTGTATCTTGAGTACGCGGGACTACGAAATGTCTAATTTTATACAGATTATTAAGTGCTACGAGCACGATTGAAGATAATGTTGTGTTTGTTAAGTAGAGGATGCATGCATTTTTTATTATTTTAGGTTTATGTTATGTTGTATTATTATTATATGCATGAAGATTTAGCCGAATAAAATTATAATACAATCAAATTCAGTGAGTTATGTGTATGTCAAGACTTCCATGTAGGTCCCATTCTGTTATAAATGGCTTCCATCGACGTACATTCCTTTTAATTTTTCAACATACGTCGTAAAAATAGTTCAATGATTATAAAATTGCCGGACAAATAACAATCCCATTTACCGCATTCCTTGAAATTGTAATCTCAGTAACGAGGGTTACCTATACTCAATCACCGTCTTCGCATCAGGGGGTAAATTTTTACGTCGTTAGTAACGACGGACATTAGGACCGTGATTACTATTTACGAGGTCACGTAAATATTTGAGGAACCTTAAAACTTATCATTTTTAACTTAAAAAACGCCAAACAATAAAAAAACTACTAAAAATGTTTCGTTTTTGTGTTTATACACTTCAGAATAATAAAAAATGGACTCAGTAAATACAGGTGTACATAGGCAACACAACATACATCCGCTTTTAAAAAATAAAGTGAAATGGTACGAACGACAAAAGCGATTACCGTGATAAACTCGCCCCTCCTCTCCCGAGTAAACAAATTACCATTATCATTGTTGCTACGACTCAGTGATAGTGATGACTCCACAAATATCCATTATTATTTATTTGTGTTATAATTAAAATTTTTCCGCGTTTCCAGGAAGTCCGGCATGGATCTCCCGAGAACCTCGACCCCCATGCCCTGCCGGTGCATGGTTAGAATTTCGGCACAATGTGGCCCGAATTGCGCCTGTTGCAGGGAATACAGGAGATTCATGGAAAACCACCGGGAGCCCAAAAATTTGCGGAAAGTGTACCGAGTCAAAGGGGTCGAAAAGGCGGCCTGCTGCGACATCGTGGCTGGACATGTCCTCTTCAAGTGCTCGCGGAAATTCCTAAGCATGAAGGACTTTTTGGCAAAACTGCGACGGAAGTTTAAAAGGAACAAAACGTCACGGGATATATTGGAAAGTGTATTATAGGTGTAAACATTTTTTGTGTATATTTCTAAATAAATAAAACTCTTGTGTCAGTTGCAAAATCAACCCTGAGTACTGTAATAGAGGGTTGCAGAACAATGGTACCGCACGTGGTACTATTATCACCGGACTACGCACTCTCCGTTCCGTCAAGTCAAAGTGCCTTCCGTGTGTAATTTTGTTTATTTTCAATTAACAGCTGTTTGTAGGAATTCGCAATGGAGCTTACTAGGAGAAGTTCGACCCCGCTGCCCCCAGAAATTCGACAAAGGGTTCCGTCTCCGTGCCCAAAGTGCGATAGAGGTTACAAAAAATTTGTCGACGGAATTCGAAAACCGATAAGTCTGAAACGGGTATACGTCAAGGGTGGCAAAAGCCTCTTCTACAAGGGGGTAATTTCAGGACATTTGATATTCGAAAATCACAAAACATTCACGGACTTGGAAAGGTTTGACGCTTATGTAAATAGGATTATTGCTCAGTCTGAGAATATGTAACTTGTTAGTGCCAGTTGAGTGCCGTTGCTTTTTAATTTTTGTACATACGTAGTTTTTAAATAGATTTTATTTTGCATGTTTTATTGGTGTTTTGTTTTTGGGGTTATAGTGTACTGAAAACAACCAGTTCCTCCCCTTAAATTGACAAATGGACTCGTCTGAACGCATTTACGTTCACTGAGTCGTTTGTGCGTTCTTCTCAGCGTATTTCGATTCTATGGAAGATTTTATTTAAATAATTAATTTATGAAGATCTTGTTGCCTGAGGTGAAAGTTGGCTGTTTATAACTAAATATAAATATAAATAAGTCTTGTTACTTACCTTCTCAAAAGAACGCACCTTTTTGTACCAAAGTGGTACCACCAAATCTGTTTCGACTAAAAGTACGACTCCATAAGGGCTAATTTTGTATAAAAATATTAAACATTAATTCAACACTGTCACAACTAACCGGAAAAACAAAACCTGTGTATTTTTAAAAATTAATTAAATAACGTGTGCAGCGGTCGAAAAAGCGTGCGATTCTCCCTGAAATAAAAAAATCTATGGGTGCTTCCAAAGCCCCCCGAGATACAACACACAATACATGTAATTTAATAAAACATGTTAGAACGAAATATTTTTTCTTGCGTAAAAAATAACTATTTTAAGTATTAAAATTTAGCAGAGGAGTTCGTAACGTCCATACTGGTGGCTACGTCCTCGATTTCATTGGGCAAGATGTTACCGACTGTCTCATCCATGGGCACAGCTTCATTATCCACATCCCGTTCCAGTTCTTTTCTTCTGGCTGCAATGTCCTTTAGGAGGGCTTTCCCGACTTCTTTAGTCTGTAAACACACACACAATCACATTATTAAAGCCACTGCACGAAAATGGAAAAAGTTTGAAAATGGTGTCTTATGTCACACGTTGCCAACTGCCAACCCGAAAATCACTAAATGTACGGACTGAAGTCAAACAACACGAGCGACTACAATCACATCCAACACACAACAATAATCATTTTCAAGCCGAATTAGTTGCTAAATTGTTCACAATACAACAAAAATCACAACCGGACGATTTTAATGATTTTACAAAGTTCCGATTTTCCCCCAACCCACTTAGGTTGGCACCACTTTTGACATTTCATTTCACCGCGTCGGCACGAAATTCAGTTTCGAAGCGAAAAGAGCCCCCAGAATCACAAATCAAGCAAACCAGGTACCCACCTTTTCATTTTCCATGCATTTGTAGGCATACGTGTACGCATCGTCCAGCTGGCCGTTTTTCAAATGATAATTCGCCAAGTACTGAAAAGCGCTATAAAACTCGGTTTCGTCGGTGTTAAATCGGCCCTTGTTTTCGTTCTCGCGTAGACAGTACTCGGTGAAGGCGGCCGCCGCGTTGTCGAACTCTTTCAGTTTATCGTAGAGCCTTGAAAGCGCGTTTTAACACAAAATTATAATTTGGGTGCAACGTACTTGGCTAGTTTGATGAGGGCTTGCCCCTCTATATCACCCACCGTGCAGGCTTTATAGTAACACTTGAGCGCGTTTTCAGTCTTTTCCAGTTTTTCGTACGTCTCGCCTAGCGCTATGATCATCCGACTGTCGTTCGGTTTGAGTTGTTGCGCTTGTTTGTAGTAGTATAGACAGTAGAAGTACATTTTGAGGATTTCGTACGTTTGGCCTAGGCCGTACCACGCCCGGTAGTCCCGATTGTTGATTTCTAATAAAAACGAATTAGTTAGTTGTTTGTGGGACCCATACTTAAATTACCTATCGCGTGTCGGTAGCTTTGAATCGCCGCGTTCGTGTTTTTCATCTCCATGTACTCGTGCCCCATCAAAGTCCACGCTGAGAGAAACTGCGGGTTTAATTTCAGCGCCCGTCTGAAATACAACACGGCTTTGGCGTGGTCCGACCTCAAGCTATAATAATTTCCTGAAATTTTACTCTACGGGATTTCTTATAGGTAGATAGCGACCAGTCGTACCAATCACGCAGCAAGTCTCCACTCTGTACTTATCCACCAGCACGACTTTGTGCGCCAAATCCGCTAAGTCCGTCTTCATTTCTTGAACGTACAACAAATTCGAATACGTGTCTAAATTGTCCAATCTGTACGGATCCAGCGCCAAAATCTGCTTAAACAAATCGATCGCTTGCACCAACTCTGAAACAAAAATTAAAATGTCAGACTATTTAAAAGACTTGGAGAAATACAAGCTCGAGCCCAAACCCGCCCCCAGAGCCACCCCCGCCGAGAAAAAATTCACCCCGAAAGCCGACCCCATCCTGTTGAAGCTCTACCCCGACCCCCACCCCCTCTCCTCCGAAGAGCAGATTTTTTTTGTTAAGTTGACCGAAGGCGCTTTCGGGTTTAACGAGCACGTGAGGAACGAGACGCTGCAGATTTTGGCACGTGACTACCACGTGAGGTTTCTGGCCCCTTATTTGTGCAGCTTTATTAAAGAGGCGATTTGTGCCAATATCGTGTTTCTGGATTTGTCGCTGCTGATTTACTCGGTTCGGATGGTGAAGAGTCTGATGAGTAACCCGTACGTGAATCTAAAGGTGCACTTACACGTCTTGTTACCGGCTATACTGTCGTGCGTGCTTTCCCGGAGAATCAGTAAGTATAATTATGATAATCATTGGACGTTGAGGGATTTTTCGGCGCAAGTGGTTGCTGCTATTTGCTGTACCCATTCTAATAAGGTGAATCAGATTAAAACTAGAGTGGTGAGGGTGTATTTAGAGGCGGTCCAGGATATGCGAAAACCGTTGACGACGCTGTATGGTGGACTGAAAGGGCTGAGTTGCTTTGGTGAAGAAACGATTAAAACGTGCATAATCCCCTTTATTCCGGCTGTGAGTAGGCGCATTTGCGCCCTCTTGGAAAAAACGGTGTATCTAGGGGACACTACTAACGAAACCAAGCAAATTAAGCACGTTACGGACCTGATTCTAGCGATAACAGGGCCGGTACTTCTCCAGCACAAAAATATTAACGACGGGGGAGTCTCCTACGTTAAAGAATTCGGCTATTTAGGGTACACCCTCTACTCCCACGTTAAAAACATGGAGAAGATAGAAGCCGAAAAAAAGAATCTCTACAGCGTTTACTTATTCTGTAGTTGTTAATTGGAAATAAATTTTGTTTTTTTTTAATGTTTAATTCAGACATACCTCGACGATTGTGGTGCCCTATGGCTATTTGCGCCATCAAATACGTACTATCCTTCAGCCCCTGCGAGCACAGTTCAAAATAAATCTGTAAAGCCTCATCGTTGTTCAGCTGCTCTAGGTATGCATGCGCCAGAAACAAGTGCTTCATCCAGTGATCCGGCAACTCCATCAAAAAAATTTTATTCTTATCTGGAATGATTTTCCCCAATTCGTACCACGCACACCACAGGATCGGCTCACAGTTCACTGCTTTCACGAACACGTTAATCGCCAAATTCGTCAAGTCCAGCTTCTTTAAAATAATCCCGTACAAATATAAGCAAAATCCGTCTAACTTGTTCTCGTAGTGGTCGCTCTTGAGCTGCGAGCACAACCCCGCGAGGTCGTTGTTCTCCGTGGGGTCCGGCGGACAGTTCGTGTCCGTCATACTATCAAGTCTCTTCTTTTCAATCGAGAGGTATTTGGAGTAGTAGTGGAGGAACCGCGGCTTGGGTTTAGTGCAATTTTTGGTGAAGTAGGCACACCTGTCGTACTCTTTCAAGTCGAAGTAGCTTTTAGCCATGAAGTAGGCTTCGAGCTCGCCTTCGCAGTCGTTGCGAGTGGGGGCGTCGTCCGAGGGGCTTTTTACGTGCGACAGAGAGAAGTAGAGCTCCGAGAGCCACTTGGTGCTGTGATTGAGGCCCCGCTCCGAGCAGGCGACGATCCCGAGGTGCAGGTCGCGCTTCATTTGGGGTAAATCGAGTTTAATGTCTTCCATTGTAGCTACTAGTCGGGTTTTTGAATTTTTGAGGTTATGTTTGTGAGTGACAGGTTGGTAATGCAGGGGATTGGTTTATCGGTGACGTGGACAAAACGAAAAAATTCTGACTGACATTGTTCGAAATGTTGCTCTCCCGCTCCCGAATTCTCCCGCTTTTCCCCAAAACTCGCCCCCTTATCCTCTTTCGCAGCGAATCTCAGGGTGAAGAATGCGACGACTCCGGAAAAAAGACGGATTCGAAGAAATCGTCCAGTCAGGAGCCGCGCCGCTACTCCCCATTTCGGCCCAAGAATAGGGTTGAGTGGGTGATGGCCCGTCTGGACGACGTGTTGAACTGGGGCCGCAAGAACTCCCCGTGGCCCATGACCTTCGGGCTGGCTTGTTGTGCCGTGGAGATGATGCACATCGCGGCCCCTCGCTACGACATGGACCGGTACGGCGTCGTCTTCAGGGCTTCCCCACGTCAGACCGAGCTGATGATCGTGGCGGGAACCGTGACCAACAAGATGGCGTCGGCGGTAAGGAAGGTCTACAGCCAGATGAGCGAGCCCAAATGGGTGATTTCGATGGGCAGTTGCGCGAATGGGGGAGGATATTACCATTATTCGTACTCGGTGGTGAGGTAGGCAAGGGTTACTTTGGGAATTTTGACTAAGTTTCGAGGCTTCTGGTACCAGAACGCAGTTCCAGAGCGCTCTCGACGGAGAATTGATGTAAAGAGATACAACTTCAGTTATTTGCAACTGTAAATTATGTTAGCATCTGTTGGTTCTTTGTGTAGATTTAAAATTGATGATTGTAGTCAAAATTCTTTAAGGATTCTATGCAGTGCAGGGGCGGCTCATGAGTTGAGAAGTTGATGAGGCAAAGCACAAGATATCGAAAAAATTACATACATTAATTTTTTTTTAATTTTTGATTTTTGAAATTGTCGTTCTTCAATTTTTCGATTTGCAGTTTTTCGTATTTTCAACTTTTGGCGTTTGCCACGTTTATTAACATCGTGGTGACTGAGGATTTTTTAATAGCACCCATTTTCGAAATTTTTTAAATTGTACAGTTTTTTGATTTTACGATTTCTCAGTTTTTAGATTTTTATTTAGCCATTTTTTAATTGTACAGTGTTTCTATTTAAGTTTTTGAGTTTTCAAGTTTGTTTTTCAAAATTTTGGTTTATTAACATTTAAGTTTTTCAGTTTTTGGATTTTCCAGTTTCTCGATTTTTAATACATATTTCGATTTTCAAATTTTCCATTTGTGAATTTTTGTTCCTTTAATTTTTCGACTTTACAGTTTTCCGATTTTAGGTGTTCTAGTTTGCAGTCTTTAATTTTTCAATTTTACAATTTTTGGCATTTTTTATTTTTTGATTTTGAAATTTGCCGATCCCAGATTTTTGACTCGCAATTTTTCGATATTTCAATTTTGCACTTCACAATTTTTCAATTTGTAGATATTTTAATTTTTCCTTATTTCAATCAATCGAGATTTCAATTTTTAATGTAGCTTTTAAATTTTTCAAGTTCTCAGTTGTTTAATGTTTCATTTTCCCAGATTCTAATTTTTAATTTACTTCAAAAAGTACAAATTTATTAAAACTGAAATCTTCACGATTTTACAGTTTTTGGATTTTTCAATTTTATATCTAGATTTTTCTTAACTAACTAGTTTTTAATTGGTTTCATCGCGTTTATTTACATCGTCTTGACTGAGCATTTTTTTAATAACACCCATTTTTGAGTTTTTAAAAATTCTTTACTTGTCCGATTTTCTATTTTCTCGACGTGTCACGACCTCTAGAATACGAAAAAAGTGGTCTCCCGTTTCCGTCTGTCTGTCTGTCTATATCCATTTTTATTAGACATGTAATCTCCGAAACTGCTGGACCGATTGTTGTCAAATTTTGCACATATGTTAGAAATATCAGGTAGATGGTTACAAACTAACCAAAATTTCGCTAATTATCCCCACCAACAATTTGATGACGTCATCTCCAAAATTTATAATTAAAAGCTTTTTAATTGTATAAAATAAGATACTCTTGTACTTGTGGTGTGTGAATCCGTGTCGAATTTTCACCCTAGACATCCAGAATTTTTAGAAAAAAATTAAAACTGAATAGAATAATTCCTATATAACTTTCTTTACCCCTTCTCCATTTTCTCAGAGGGCATGGCATTTGCCAAAATCAGTCTTATCTTAGCAAGTACTAGCCCCGCCCACCCACCCTCTATTTCTCAGAGGATATGGCATTTGCCAAAATCAGTCTTATCTGAACAAGTACTAGACCCGCCCACCCGCCCCTGTCTTCTCACAATATATGTCATTTGCCAAAATAAGTACTAGGGAGTACTACCCTCTGAAGAAATAAAGGGCGGGTAGGTGGGGCTAGTACTTGCTAACATAAGTCTTGTTCTGGCAAATGACATATCCTCTGAGAAAATAGGGGGCGTGTGGGTGGGGCTAGCACTTGGTAAGATAAGACTGATTTTGGCAAATGACATATCCCTAAGAAAAGAGAGGGTGGGTGGGCGGGGCTAGTACTTGGTAAGATAAGACTGATTTTGGCAAATGACATATCCCTAAGAAAAGAAATTGTGGGTGGGCGGGGCTAGTACTTGGTAAGATAAGACTTATTCCGACAAATGACTTCCTCTGATAAAACAAGGGCGGGTGGGCGGTCCTAGAACTTGTTAAGACAAAACGGATTTTGCCCCTATTAATCTTGTAAAAACTTGTGAAATTTAAAGGTGTTAAATTGCACATTTCCTTAGTAACGTAAGATTTTGTTTATGATTTATCATTGCATTCATATTTTTAGATTAGCTTAGACAGGTGGCCCAAAAAAATTTAATCAATGTGTCAATTTATTTGATTGATTAAATCAGGAACGGTTCACTCCATTTTCCCGGAAAATTTTGGGAATACAAAACTGTTATTTTTAGTATTACAGTGCACCAATCCAAGGTGTCCTTGCAAAAATGTTGATGACGTCATCACAAAATTCTGTAAAGTAAAAACTCAACTCAAAAATGCTGGATATGTTTCACTGTACTTTAGATGCGGGGGAAGTTCTGCCGAAACAGCTTTCGACCAATTTTTCGAATTTGTTTTAAGTTTTTCAGAGTTTCTATTTATTAACTCATGGATTTCTCAATGTTTCGATTTAATAGTTACTTAGATTTTTAACTTTTTCGACTTAGAATTATTCAATTTTACCGTTTTTGATTTTACAATTTTTCGCTTTCAACTTTTTTAGTTTTCAATTTTTCGAAATTTTAGATTTTCAATCTTGCGAATTTTCGTTCCTTCATTTTTTCGATCTGTAATTTTTCGTTTTTTGGATGTTTCGATTTTTTAAGTTTCCGATTTTTCAATTTTTCGTTGCTTCGATTTTTTGATTTTTCAATTTGTAGATATTATAATTTTCCTTTATTTGGATTAAACGATGATTCAAATTTTTATGTCTTCAATTTTTTGATTTGCAATTTTTTAGTTTTCAATTTTTAGTCCTTTCAAATTTTAGCTTTCAAGTAATCAAGTTCTCATTTTTGCATTTTTAAAATTTTGACAAAAAGAGCAAGTTTATTTGAATTGAAATTTTGAAAAATTGTAACGCAGGATTTTTTTCATGTTGCTCTTGTATTTTCGATGTGTTTCTTCTAAAAATGGAAACATCCAAAATAAAAAATCAAAAAACTGGAAATCTAACAGCTGAAAAACGAAAAAATTAAATATCGAAAAATCTAAAAATAATAATAGAAAGAGCCAATCTAAAAGGTGAAGCAACGAAATATTGAAAAACCGAAAAATTCAAAAAAGCAAAATCTAAAAATTAAAAAATTTAAACTGGAAACAAAAAATTCATTGCTGAGGCATTGTTGCCTCACCTGCCTCATAGAACAAGCCGCCCCTGCTGCAGTGTAAATGTGTTCTGGAATATTGTGTCTGGTTGTAGAGGGGTAGACCGGATTCTTCCGGTTGATATTTACGTTCCGGGATGTCCTCCAACTGCTGAGGCCCTGATGTATGGAATTTTGCAGTTGCAGAGGAAGATCAAGAGACACAATGCTGTGCAGAATTGGTATCACAATCGCATATAAATGAATTTTGGTATGAGTTTTTTTTTTTTAATATTGTAATAAATGCAGGCTTTCGTTACTTTCATTGCTTTAACTTTTAATTGTAAATGATTAGATTACATTCTTCAATTGTGTTCACTTTTCTCCGATCAGGTTAAAATGGATGTCTAAAATTGAAAAGGTTAGTTTCAGGTGGCCATTTTTTCGAGGCTCGTTGCGACCTCTTGCCGTCACCCAATGAACAAATGATGCGCGGAGACATCCGGCAACCTCGCAACTGTCAAATACGTGTATCGTAGTGGTCAATGACCGATCAGATATCGATTGGTGACCTCAAAAAAGAAACACAGTGTATTTTTCTTCCTGAATATCCGCTGATGTGTAATATTTCCGTTGGCATTTTTACGAAAAATGTGTTTACGTTGACATTCCTAGCTACCACAGACAAGGAACGATATAAACGAAGTAAATACCACATGCATCCATAACCGAAGCGATAAATTATCGGTTGTTACGTCTTATTTATCGTTAGCCATCAAAAATGCGATTTTGTTTGTCCCATTTATCACTTCGGGTGACCGAAAATTTGTCGGTTGGGTTCGGCCAACGGATAAATCGAATTTAACCTCAAATTTACTCGGCAAGTTTCAAACTAACGGTCGCGTACAATCGTACAATTCTCGCGTCTCCTCCATTTTGAAAAGAAATTGTGTTTGAAACAATCATTAAGGTAATAGTAACGATATATTAAAAAATATGTATTTATTTAAAGAAAAACTCATCTGTAAAAATTACATAAATTCATTTTCCCAAAAATTCCAATTCCCATAATGTTTAGATGGACAAAAGAAGGCTGAGTAGGCCAAGCGGGGAGCAGAAAAGGCTCCTCGTAAATTTCATGGAGGAGCACCTGAAATTTGCGAGGAGCCAAGAAACTGACAGCATGAAAGTGCGAAATATGTGGAGGCACCTTATGCGCACCCTGAATGCCAGTGGGGGTGCAAACAAGGGCACGAAGCAGTGGCAAAGGGTTTGTATTTCTACATAAAAAAATCATATTTCTCTCCTCTTTTGTTCACACATCTTTAAAAATAAAATAATTTGAAGTGTTGGAGTGATTGGAAATCGGCCGTCAAAACAAAGGCCACTAAACTGTCAAGAAATCTACAACAAACAGGGGGTGCCGAAGGCGATAGTTTACAGGAACTGTCCGAAATCGAAAGACGAGTGCTGCAAATTATCGGCGGAGGCTTCAGTAGGGATGGGAGAACGAAAGAACTCCCCGTCATCCAGGTAAGTATTTTTTCATTATTCATGCAGGCGTACCACAACATACCTATGACCCTAAAATAATTTTTAGATTTCACAACCAGTTGCAAGTCCCGACCCGGCTCCTGAAGACTTTCCTGACAGTGAGAGTGAGGATGTACTAATTTTGCCATACACTTGTGCCAAAATTAATACCCTGATTTGCAGTATCTTGTAGAAATTCCACCATTGGGTCCTCTACCCTTACCACAACCGTCCACCAGCCAGGCTACCACGAACGGTGCGACCCCACCTCGCGGGATAAAACGGCGGGCCCTTCGTTATTCTCAAGGCCACGAAAATAATTTTTCGAAGCTCCTTCGAGAAAAACAAAGGGCCAATGACCTTCTCGAGAGACAAGCTGCAGCCCTCGAAAGGCAAGCTACGGCTACCGAGCAATTGGTGGATGTAATGGAGCGTGTATTTGGTGTCTTGGGCGAATTTGTAGACAGAATGAATTAAATTTAATCTACCTCCTGTTTTTCTTTTTTCATTATAAGGAAAAGTAATGTCCATGTTCCAAGTACGTTGCGAAGTTTGGCGTTAATGTTTCAGTGAAAAAGTTAGCAAAAACGAGTGAAATTAGTAACTGTTCAGAAATACATGTGGTAACAGCGCCTAAATTTATCGCTTCGGTTGGGAAGAGAAGTAAAATACCAGTTTGAATGACAACCGATATGTAAATGCAACCGAAAATTTTTCGGTTGAGAAAGAAAATCGCACCCCGGGTTTTTGAATTTTTGAGGTTATGTTTGTGAGTGACAGGTAGGTAATGTAGGGGATTGTTTTATCGGTGACGCGGAAAATCGCTTTCTGTTTGAAATAAAACGAAAAAATCTGACATTGTCCAAGATGTCTCTCCTATCCCGCTTCCGCATTCTCCCCCTTTTCCCCAAAACTTGTGTAAGGATCCAATTCGAATTTTTAAATTTCAAACGAATTCCGCGCGCACAAGAAACGGTTAGTGAGAAGAAGGAGAGGTTGGCAACCAACCACCCCAAAGAAACAGACGTGCGCAAAGCGAAGGTGGTATTGTCTTGAAAAATGAGTCACTTCCCTCTGATCGCTTCGAACAAACAGACCACTTCTTTTCGAGCGCTTCGAGCAACAGGTTGTATTTTTAATTGTGAATTATTCTGTGCCTTTTGCTGTTGTGTTTTGTTTTTCCAGTGTTGATCTGTTCCATTGGAAAACGTGGCAGCCCCCGTTGAGCCATTGGGTGTTCCTGATTTCTCATCGTTCTTACGACGAGGTTTTTGTGTTCCTTTTGGCGGTAAGCCGTGTCGAAATCTTCGCATCTTTGGAGAGGTATGTTTTGAACACCTGTTTTGGACTGGGCCCTGTTTTCGCGGCGAGTTTCAAGCCCCGACGATGCTTCTGACCTCGTGTCACAACGACGCGTGCGCTTTTTTCCACTAATCTCGTTTTTTTTTTTTTTTTTCATTTAAAATCCATCGCAGTAGGGCTTTACAGGAAGTGATTTTTAGTTCGGGCCATGCTTTATTTAGCTATATTTGTGAAATCTGTATTTTGGATGGCGACAAACGAGTTGTTATTTTCACCGTTCTTTGTTCAGGCAGCGGCCATTTTGAAGCGTCCATTTTGTTTCTTTTAAACGAGCACATGTTTTAACTGAATCTATTGAACAAATTAACAAACATTGTGGGTCATGGGGGGACGTGCCTTCTATTCTTTGGATTTAGCACATCGTTTATACAACGCCACAGGATTCATCGTATTTTTGCATCGCATATTTTCGACGCCTATTATTTGGAATGACGAATTCGTCCAACGCCATTTTGGATCTGCAGATTGTCTGCCATGTTTGTTTATGTGTTTTGTTTGGGGAAATGTATGTGTAATAATGGCCCACAATGCAGCTAAATAATTTCACGTTTGAATTTTAACCAATAACTTGACTGGACACGAATTAATATTAATCACATGTAAATCTGTTAACTTTACAATCTTTCACCTCATGCAATTTGTCTTTGTCTCACAATTTTAGCTTCAGTAATTTTCTTGGCGGTATAATTTGAATTGAACGTAAATTTCCATGCTCTACAGTTTTGACCTAACATGATATTTTATTTGCACAAGTTTATTTCCCACCAGATCTTTGTTTTATAAATCTTTGCTAAGTTTTGATCATGTAAATATTTTGTTGATGAATATTTCTATCATGTAAATTATCTGATGTCCAAATTTAATCTCAATTAAGAATTATTTGTTGACTGAATTTCCGTAAGAGTGTGTGGCGAATTTAAATGTTGTTGATTGCTCTTTGTTGAAACTTTAACATTTGTTCGGTTGTAATGTCATATTAGGGTTATAGAGTTTGAACATTTAAATAGAATTGAAGGTAAATAACACAATAACACGTAGTGTCGGCGATGGGCGCAGTTCCTAGTTGCGGTAGCGGAATGTATCGCGCTGTCCGCACAAGATGTGCAGGCTTTGAGCTAGATTTCAGTGGGAACGGTCTTGACGACGAGGTAGTAGTTGACCAGACTTCACCGCTAGTTTTAGGCCGAAACGGCCTGCTTGGACGGCATGTTCGTCATGGAGGGGTGCTGTCTGGCAGGCTTGGTGTAGATAGAATCACCGTCGCGGGGGAAACCAGCCCAGACCGGGAGCTCCAAACTTCGCTCACGCTGCGACGCCCCCTCTGGGTATTTTGCTGTGCTCATAAATGAAATTGTTATATTTTGTTCTAGGTTTGTTCGATCGCCACACTCTCATAATGATTCGGTTTCTGCCATCCAATTTACATATGTGTAGGTCTTGTGTTTGTTCGGTTTTCATATGTGTAGGTCTGTCAATTCGCGAGTGTTTTTCTTTCAAATATCTTAAGGTGTTTGAAATGTAATAATATGTCGTCCGGGAATAAAACCAAAGGGGGTTTTTACGCTGAGGGGTAATTCTTCGCAGCGTATTTCCCCCTGTGAGGGTGGTGCCGTTTCCCCCCCTCCAAAACAATTTCTGTTAATTATTTCTTGCGCTCTCGACAGTGTATGCACTTGTATGAAAGAACTTCTTCCCGCCATTTTTCAAACCAAAAAAAAAAAAAAACACACAACGTAGGTTCTCATTTGTTAGACGATCACAGCCAAGGCCAAACTTTGAATTTTTGAATTTTTCGCGGGCCTTTCAAACTGTTCAAGGTCAATTTTTAAGGCGGGAAGTTTGGGTTATCACACTTGCCCCCTTATTTTCTTTCGCAGCGAATCTCAGGGTGAAGAATGCGACGACTCCGCAGAGAAGACGGATTCTAAGAAAGCCTCCAGTCAGGAGCCCCGCCGCTACTCCCCCTTTCGGCCCAAGAATAGGGTTGAATGGGTGATGGCCCGTCTGGATGACGTTTTGAATTGGGGCCGCAAGAACTCCCCGTGGCCCTTGACCTTCGGGCTGGCTTGTTGTGCCGTGGAGATGATGCACATCGCGGCCCCTCGCTACGACATGGACCGGTACGGCGTCGTCTTCAGGGCTTCCCCACGTCAGACCGAGCTGATGATCGTGGCGGGAACCGTGACCAACAAGATGGCGTCGGCGGTGAGGAAGGTCTACAGCCAGATGACCGAGCCCAAATGGGTGATTTCGATGGGCAGTTGTGCGAATGGAGGAGGATATTACCATTATTCGTACTCGGTGGTGAGGTATGCAAGGGTCACTTTGGGAATTTTGACTAAGTTTCGAGGCTTCTGGTACTAGAACGCAGTTCCAGAGCGCTCTCGACGGAGAAGTGATGTAAAGAGATATAACTTCAGTTATTTGCAACTGTGAATTATGTTAGATCTGGTGGCTCTTTATGTAGATTTAAAATTAATGATTCTAGTCAAAATTCTTTAAGGATTTTATGGAGTGCAGGGGCGGCTCATGAGTTGAGAAGTTGATGAAGCAAAGCATAAGATATCAAAAAAAAATACATACTTTTTTTTTTAATTTTTGATTTTTGAAATTGTCGTTTTCAATTTTTCGATTTGCAGATTTTCGTATTTTCAACTTTTGGCCTTTGCCACGTTTATTAACATCGTGGTGACTGAGGATTTTTTAATAGCACCCATTTTCGAAATTTTTAAAATTGTACAGTTTTTTGATTTTACGATTTCTCAGTTTTTAGATTTTTATTTAGCCATTTTTTAATTGTACAGTGTTTCTATTTAAGTTTTTGAGTTTTCAAGTTTGTTTTTCAAAATTTTGGTTTATTAACATTTAATTTTTTCAGTTTTTGGGTTTTCCAGTTCTCGATTTTTAATACATATTTCGATTTTCAAATTTTCCATTTGTGAATTTTTGTTTCTTTAATTTTTCGACTTTACAGTTTTCCGATTTTAGGTGTTCTAGTTTGCAGTCTTTAATTTTTCAATTTTACAAGTTTTGGCATTTTTTATTTTTTGATTTTGAAATTTTCTGGTCTCCCAGATTTTTGATTTGCAATTTTTCGATATTTCAATTTTGCACTTCTCAATTTTTAGTTTAGCTTTCAAATTTTTCAAGTTCTCAACTGTTTAATGCTTTATTTTCTCAGATTCTAATTTTTAATTCAATTCAAAAAGAACAAATTTATTAAAACTGAAATCTTCACGATTTTATAGTTTTTGGATTTTTCAATTTTATATCTAGATTTTTCTTAACTAACTAGTTTTTAATTGCTTTCATCGCGTTTATTTACATCGCCTTGACTGAGCATTTTTTTTAAAAACACCCATTTTTGCGTTTTTGAAAATCCTTTAGTTGTCCGATTTTCTATTTTCTCGACGTGTCATGACCTCTAGAATACGAAGAAAGTGGTCTCCCGTTTCCGTTTGTCTGTCTATCTGTCTGTCTGTATCCATTTTTATTGGACACGTAATCTCCGAAACTGCTGGACCGATTGTTGTCAAATTTTGCACATATGTTAGAAATATCACGTAGATGGTTAAATACTAACCAAAATTTATCTAATTTTCCCCAGCAACAATTTGATGACGTCATCTCCAAAATTTGTAATTAAAATTTTTATTATTTTAATAAAATAAGATACTCTTGTACTTGTGGTGTGTGAATCCGTGTCGAATTTTCACCCTAGACATCCAGAATTTTTAGAAAAAAATTAAAACTGAATAGAATAATTCCAATATAACTTTCTTTACCCCTTCTCCATTTTCTCAGAGGGCATGGCATTTGCCAAAATCAGTCTTATCTTAGCAAGTACTAGCCCCGCCCACCCACCCTCTATTTCTCAGAGGATATGGCATTTGCCAAAATCAGTCTTATCTGAACAAGTACTAGACCCGCCCACCCGCCCCTGTCTTCTCACAATATATGTCATTTGCCAAAATAAGTACTAGGGAGTACTACCCTCTGAAGAAATAAAGGGCGGGTAGGTGGGGCTAGTACTTGCTAACATAAGTCTTGTTCTGGCAAATGACATATCCTCTGAGAAAATAGGGGGCGTGTGGGTGGGGCTAGCACTTGGTAAGATAAGACTGATTTTGGCAAATGACATATCCCTAAGAAAAGAGAGGGTGGGTGGGCGGGGCTAGTACTTGGTAAGATAAGACTGATTTTGGCAAATGACATATCCCTAAGAAAAGAAAGGGTGGGTGGGCGGGGCTAGTACTTGGTAAGATAAGACTTATTCCGGCAAATGACTTCCTCTGATAAAACAAGGGCGGGTGGGCGGTCCTAGAACTTGTTAAGACAAAACGGATTTTGCCCCTATTAATCTTGTAAAAACTTGTGAAATTTAAAGGTGTTAAATTGCACATTTCCTTAGTAACGTAAGATTTTGTTTATGATTTATCATTGCATTCATATTTTTAGATTAGCTTAGACAGGTGCCCCAAAAAAATTTAATCAATGTGTCAATTTATTTGATTGATTAAATCAGGAACGGTTCACTCCATTTTCCCGGAAAATTTTGGGAATACAAAACTGTTATTTTTAGTATTACAGTGCACCAATCCAAGGTGTCCTTGCAAAAATGTTGATGACGTCATCACAAAATTCTGTAAAGTAAAAACTCAACTCAAAAATGCTGGATATGTTTCACTGTACTTTAGATGCGGGGGAAGTTCTGCCGAAACAGCTTTCGAATTTGTTTTAAGTATTTCAGAATTTATATTTATTAACTCATGGATTTCTCAATGTTTCGATTTTATAGTTACTTAGATTTTCAACTTTTTCGACTTAGAATTATTCAATTTTACCGTTTTTGATTTTACAATTTTTCGCTTTCAACTTTTTTAGTTTTCAATTTTTCGAAATTTTAAATTTTCGATCTTGCAAATTTTCGTTCCTTCATTTTTTCGATCTGCAATTTTTCGTTTCTTGAATGTTTCGATTTTTTAAGTTTCTTGTTTTTCAATTTTTGGTTCCTTCGATTTTTTGATTTTTCAATTTGCAGATATTTTAATTTTCGTTTATTTGGATTAAACGATGATTCAAATTTTTATGTCTTCGATTTTTTGATTTGCAATTTTTTAGTTTTCAATTTTTAGTCTTTTCAAATTTTAGCTTTTAAACAATCAAGTTCTCATTTTTGCATTTTTAAATTTTTGACAAAAAAAAACAAGTTTATTTAAACTGAAATTTTGAAAAATTGTAACGCAGGATTTTTTCATATTGCTCTTGTATTTTCGCTGTGTTTCTTCGAAAAATGGATACATCCAAAATAAAAAACCAAAAAACTGGAAAACTAACAACTGAAAAACGAAAAAATGAAATATCGAAAAATTGAGAAATCTAAAAATAATAATAATAGAAAGAACCAATCTAAAAGGTGAGCAACGAAATATTGAAAAACCGAAAAATTCAAAAATGCAAAATCTAAAAATTAAAAAATTTAAACTGGAAACAAAAAATTCATTGCTGAGGCATTGTCTCACCCGCCTCATAGAACAAGCCGCCCCTGCTGCAGTGTAAATGTGTTCTAGGATATTGTGTCTGGTTGTAGAGGAGTAGATCGGATTCTTCCGGTTGATATTTACGTTCCGGGATGTCCTCCAACTGCTGAGGCCCTGATGTATGGAATTTTGCAGTTGCAGAGGAAGATTAAGAGACACAATGCTGTGCAGAATTGGTATCACAATCGCATATAAATGAATTTTGATATTATTATTTTTTTTTTTTAATATTGTAATAAATGCAGGCTTTCGTTACTTTCATTGCTTTAACTTTTAATTGTAAATGATTAGATTACATTCTTCAATTGTGTTCACTTTTCTCCGATCAGGTTAAAATGGATGTCTAAAATTGAAAAGGTTAGTTTCAGGTGGCCATTTTTTTTAGGCTCGTTGCGACCTCTTGCCGTCCCCCAATGAACAAATGATGCGCGGGAGACATCCGGCAACCTTGCAACTGTCAAATACGTGTATCGTAGTGGTCAATGACCGATCAGAAATCGATTGGTGACCTCAATAAAGAAACGCAGTGTATTTTTTTTCCTGAATATCCGCTGATGTGTAATATTTACGTTGGCATTTTTACGAAAAATGTGTTTATGTTGACATTCCTAACAACCACAGACAAGGAACGATATAGACAAAGTAAATACCATATGCATCCATAACCGAAACGATAAATTATCGGTTGTTACGTCTTATTTATCGTTAGCAATCAAAAATGCGATTTTGTTTGTCACATTTATCACTTCGGGTGACCGAAAATTTGTCTGTTGGGTTCGGCCAACGGATAAATGGAATTTAACCTCAAATTTACTCGGCAAGTTTCAAACTAACGGTCACGTACAATTCTCGCGTCTCCTCCATTTTGAAAAGAAATTGTGTTTGAAACGATCATTAAGGTAATAGTAACAATATATTAAAAAATATGTCTTTATTTAAAGAAAAACTCATCTGTAAAAATTACATAAATTTATTTTCCCAAAAATTCCAATTCCTATAATGTTTAGATGGACAAAAGAAGGCTGAGTAGGCCAAGCGGGGAGCAGAAAAGGCTTCTCGTAAATTTCATGGAGGAGCACCTGAAATTTGCGAGGAGCCAAGAAACTGACAGCATGAAAGTGCGAAATATGTGGAGGCACCTTATGCGCACCCTGAATGCCAGTGGTGGTGCAAACAAGGGCACGAAACAGTGGCAAAGGGTTTGTATTTCTACATAAAAAATACATATTTCTCTCCTCTTTTGTTGACACATCTTTAAAAATAAAATAATTTGAAGTGTTTGAGTGACTGGAAATCGGCCGTCAAAACAAAGGCCACTAAACTGTCAAGAAATCTACAACAAACAGGGGGTGCCGAAGGCGATAGTTTACAGGAACTGTCCGAAATCGAAAGACGGATGCTGCAAATTATCGGCGGAGGCTTCAGTAGGGATGGGAGAAGGAAAGAACTCCCCGTCATCCAGGTAAGTATTTTTTCATTATTCATGCACGCGTACCACAACATACCTATGACCCTAAAATAATTTTTAGATTTCACAACCAGTTGCAAGTCCCGACCCGGCTCCTGAAGACTTTCCTGGCAGTGAGAGTGAGGATGTACTAATTTTGCCATACACTTGTGCCAAAATTAATACCCTGATTTGTAGTATCTTGTAGAAATTCCACCACTGGGTCCTCCACCCTTACCACAACCGTCCACCAGCCAGGCTACCACGAACGGTGCGACCCCACCTCGCGGGATAAAACGGCGGGCCCTTCGTTATTCTCAAGGACACGAAAATAATTTTTCGAAGCTCCTTCGAGAAAAACAAAGGGCCAATGACCTTCTCGAGAGGCAAGCTGCAGCCCTCGAAAGGCAAGCTACGGCTACCGAGCAATTGGTGGATGTAATGGAGCGTGTGTTTGGTGTCTTGGGCGAATTTGTAGACAGAATGAATTAAATTTAATCTACCTCCTGTTTTTCTTTTTTCATTATAGGGAAAAATAATGTCCATGTTCCAAGTACGTTGCGAAGTTTGGCGTTAATGTTTCAGTGGAAAAGTTAGCAAAAACGAGTGAAATTAGTAACTGTTCAGAAATACATGTGGCAACAGCGCCTAAATTTATCGCTTCGGTTGGGAAGAGAAATAAAATACCAGTTTGAATGACAACCGATATGTAAATGTAACCGAAAATTTTTCGGTTGAGAAAGAAAATCGCACCCCGGGTTTTTGAATTTTTGAGGTTATGTTTGTGAGTGACAGGTAGGTAATGTAGGAGATTGTTTTATCGGTGACGCGGAAAATCGCTTTCTGTTTGAAATAAAACGAAAAAATCTGACATTGTCCAAAATGTCTCTCCTATCCCGCTTCCGCATTCTCCCCCTTTTCCCCAAAACTTGCCCCCTTATTTTCTTTCGCAACGAATCTCAGGGTGACGACTCCGCAGAGAAGACGGATTCTAAGAAATCCTCCAGTCAGGAGCCACGCCGCTACTCCCCGTTTCGGCCCAAGAATAGGGTTGAGTGGGTGATGGCCCGTCTGGATGACGTGTTGAACTGGGGCCGCAAGAACTCCCCGTGGCCCATGACCTTCGGGCTGGCTTGTTGTGCCGTGGAGATGATGCACATCGCGGCCCCTCGCTACGACATGGACCGGTACGGCGTCGTCTTCAGGGCTTCCCCACGTCAGACCGAGCTGATGATCGTGGCGGGAACCGTGACCAACAAGATGGCGTCGGCGGTGAGGAAGGTCTACAGCCAGATGAGCGAGCCCAAATGGGTGATTTCGATGGGCAGTTGCGCGAATGGAGGAGGATATTACCATTATTCGTACTCGGTGGTGAGGTATGCAAGGGTGACTTTGGGAATTTTGACTAGTTTTCGAGGTTTCTGGTACTAGAACGCGCTTCCAGAGCGCTCTCGACGGAGAATTGATGTAAACAGATATAGCTTCAGTTATTTGCAGCTGTAAATTATGTTAGCATCTGTTGGTTCTTTGTGTAGATTTAAAATTGATGATTGTAGTCAAAATTCTTTAAGGATTCTATGCAGTGCAGGGGCGGCTCATGAGTTGAGAAGTTGATGAGGCAAAGCACAAGATATCGAAAAAATTACATACATTAATTTTTTTTAATTTTTGATTTTTGAAATTGTCGTTTTTCAATTTTTCGATTTGCAGATTTTCGTATTTTCAACTTTTGTCTTTTGCCACGGTTATTAACATCGTGGTGACTGAGGATTTTTTAATAGCACCCATCTTCGAATTTTTAAAAATTATACAGTTTTTTGATTTTACGATTTCTCAGTTTTTAGATTTTTATTTAGCAATTTTTTAATTGTACAGTGTTTCGATTTAAGTTTTTGAGTTTTCAAGTTTGTTTTTCAAAATTTTGGTTTATTAACATTTAATTTTTTCAGTTTTTGGATTTTCCAGTTTCTCGATTTTTAATACATATTTCGATTTTCAAATTTTCCATTTGTGAATTTTTGTTCCTTTAATTTTTCGACTTTACAGTTTTCCGATTTTAGGTGTTCTAGTTTGCAGTCTTTAATTTTTCAATTTTACAAGTTTTGGCATTTTTTATTTTTTGATTTTGAAATTTTCTGGTCTCCCAGATTTTTGATTTGCAATTTTTCGATATTTCAATTTTGCACTTCTCAATTTTTAGTTTAGCTTTCAAATTTTTCAAGTTCTCAACTGTTTAATGCTTTATTTTCTCAGATTCTAATTTTTAATTTAATTCAAAAAGAACAAATTTATTAAAACTGAAATCTTCACGATTTTACAGTTTTTGGATTTTTCAATTTTTATATCTAGATTTTTCTTAACTAACTAGTTTTTAATTGCTTTCATCGCGTTTATCTACATCGTCTTGACTGAGCATTTTTTTAATAACACCCATTTTTGAGTTTTTAAAAATTCTTTAATTGTCCGATTTTCTATTTTCTCGATGTGTCACGACCTCTAGAATACGAAAAAAGTGGTCTCCCGTTTCCGTCTGTCTGTCTGTCTATCTGTCTATATCCATTTTTATTAGACATGTAATCTCCGAAACTGCTGGACCGATTGTTGTCAAATTTTGCACATATGTTAGAAATATCAGGTAGATGGTTACAAACTAACCAAAATTTCGCTAATTATCCCCAACAACAATTTGATAACGTCATCTCCAAAATTTATAATTAAAAGCTTTTTAATTGTATAAAATAAGATACTCTTGTACTTGTGGTGTGTGAATCCGTGTCGAATTTTCACCCTAGACATCCAGAATTTTTAGAAAAAAATTAAAACTGAATAGAATAATTCCAATATAACTTTCTTTACCCCTTCTCCATTTTCTCAGAGGGCATGGCATTTGCCAAAATCAGTCTTATCTTAGCAAGTACTAGCCCCGCCCACCCACCCTCTATTTCTCAGAGGATATGGCATTTGCCAAAATCAGTCTTATCTGAGCAAGTACTAGACCCGCCCACCCGCCCCCGTCTTCTCACAATATATGTCATTTGCCAAAATAAGTACTAGGAAGTACTACCCTCTGAAGAAATAAAGGGCGGGTAGGTGGGGCTAGTACTTGGTGAGATAAGACTGATTTTGGCAAATGACATATTCCTAAGAAAAGAAAGGGTGGGTGGGCGGGGCTAGTACTTGGTAAGATAAGACTTATTCCGGCAAATGACTTCCTCTGATAAAACAAGGGCGGGTGGGCGGTCCTAGAACTTGTTAAGATAAAACGGATTTTGCCCCTATTAATCTTGTAAAAACTTGTGAAATTTAAAGGTGTTAAATTGCAAATTTTTATTGTAACATAAGTTTTTACTTTTGATTTATCATTGCATCCATATTTTTAAATTTGCTTATACAGGTGGCCCAAAAAAATTAATCAATATGTCAATTTATTTGATTGATTAAATCAGGAACGGTTCACTCCATTTTCCCAGAAAATTTTGGGAATACAACACTGTTATTTTTAGTATTACAGTGCACCAATTCAGGGTGTCCTTGCAAAAATATTGATGACGTCATCACAAAATTCTGTAAAGTAAAAACTCAACTCAAAAATTCTGGATGTTTCACTGTACTTTAGCTGCGAGGGAAGTTCTGCCGAAGCAGCTTTCGACCAATTTTTCGAATTTGTTTTAAGTTTTTCAGAGTTTCTATTTATTAACTCATGAATTTCTCAATTTTTCAGTTTTATAGTTACTTACATTTTAACTTTTCTTGATTTTACAATTTTTCGCTTTCAAGTTTTCTAGTTTTCAATTTTTCGAAATTTTAGATTTTCGATCTTGTAAATTTTTGTTCCTTCAGTTTTTCGATCGGCGATTTTTCGTTTCTTGGATGTTTCGATTTTTTAAATTTCCGGTTTTTCAATTTTAGGTTCGTTCGATTTTTTGATTTTTCAATTTGCAGATATTTTAATTTTCCTTTATTTGGAATGAACGATGATTCAAATTTTTATGCCTTCGATTTTTTGATTTGCAATTTTTTAGTTTTCAATTTTTAGTCTTTTCAAAATTTAGCTTTTAAACAATCAAGATCTCATTTTTGCATTTTTAAATTTTTGACAAAAAGAGCAAGTTTATCTAAATTGAAATTTTGAAAAATTGTAACGGAGGATTTTTTTTCATGTTGCTCCTGTATTTTCGATGTGTTTCTTCGAAAAATAGAAACTTCCAAAATAAAAAACCAAAAAACTAAAAATCTAACAGCTGAAAAACGAAAAAATTAAATATCGAAAAATCTAAAAATAATAATAGAAAGAGCCAATCTAAAAGGTGAAGCAACGAAATATTGAAAAACCGAAAAATTCAAAAAAACAAAATCTAAAAATTAAAAAATTTAAACTGGAAACAAAAAATTCATTGCTGAGGCATTGCCTCACCTGCCTCATAGAACAAGCCGCCTCTGCTGCAGTGTAATAAATGTGTTCTGGGATATTGTGTCTGGTTGCAGAGGAGTAGATCGTATTCTTCCTGTTGATATTTACGTTCCGGGATGTCCTCCAACTGCTGAGGCCCTGATGTACGGAATTTTGCAGTTGCAGAGGAAGATTAAGAGACACAATGCGGTGCAGAATTGGTATCAAAATCGCATATAGATCAAGTTTAGTATGAGTTTTTTTTTTTAATATTGTAATAAATGCAGGCTTTCATTACTTTCATTGCTTTAAAATTTAATTGTAAATGATTAGATTACAGTCTTCAGTTGTGTTCACTTTCCTGCAATCAGGTCAAAATGTATGTCTAAAATTGAAGAGGTTAATTTCAGGTGGCCATTTTTTCAAGGCTCGTTGCGACCTCTTGCCGTCACCCAATGAACAAATGATGCGCGGGAGACATCCGGCAACCCCGCAACTGTCAAATACGTGTATCGTAGTGGTCAATGACCGATCAGATATCGATTACGGGTGACCTTAATAAAGAAACTCAGTGTATATTTTTCCTAGATTTGGTCTGATGTGTTTTCACGTAATATTTTCGTTGGCATTTTTACGAAAAATGTGTTTTTGTTGACATTCGCAGCTACTACGGACAAGGAACATTATAGACCAAGTAAATACCATATGCATCCATATCCATAATACAATTTTTACGTTAAAACAGAGACAAGCTTGAAAATATCAAAGCCAGTGCCCTGCTACCAGTTCCAATCCTGTAAGATTTTAAATATGTATATGCAACCAAGTATACACAGAAATGACTCGGAATAATCCACGAAAGTATTTTCTAAAAGTTTTTTTGAACTGTTTATGTTCTCGGAGATATTTTAACGTAGATTTGTGTTTTGGACTTTTTTTTTTCTAAAAAAAAAATCAGCAGCAGATGTCAGGTCTTAGCCGGCCATACATGAATCAATAAATATTGGAACACAATAATCTTGCGTTTTTCATGTGAGCGAGGCCTGAAGGAATGTATAGCAAATAAAAAATTTGTCGAGTCACAGCATATGTTGAGTGAACAGGTTATCTTCCGGCGGCCATTTTGGTGCGCGCCCGTGGCGCCCCCACTCGCCGCTCTTGACAGGTGTATGTGGGTGCGACCCGGCAACGCCGCTGCTGTCAAAATACGTGTATCGCGCTGGCCAATGACCGATTATAAATCGCACATTTTTTTCTCAATCGAATGTGAACTCCCCGTTCTCCCGCGTCCCCCTCGTGCGTTGAAAAAAGTGCTCCATGCGGCCCATTTTGTACCGCTCGCCACCATTACCAACAAAAAAAGCGAAAAACGCCACCGCATCTCCGTAGAAACGCCGCTATCGGCATCTCCCTCTGTCGCGTAGTAACTGCGATATCAACAAACCGTATGCCCGCATACGTGTAACCAATCCCGTCGACGCAGTTGTAGTGTATTTTTTATTATTAAGATCGACATAACCTCAATACGGACAGGACGCGTGTTGGACCCTGAAAAGACCCAAAACGGCCATCGGACTTAACCATGATCCTGTACAGCTGGGTAAGACTCACTCCCCCGTCCGCCTCCTCTCACCCGCATTTGCAGGGCGCCAACAGCTACGGCCAGCTGGGCCTGGGCCACAAGTCCGACGAGGAGCTCGCCCCCAAGGAGGTGAACCTGGGCGAATCCGAGCTCCAGGCGGACAACATCGTGCAAGTGGCCGCCGGCGGCGGTCACACGCTCGTCCTGGATAAGAACGGGTTCGTCTACTGCTGCGGCTGGAACTCCAAGGGCCAGCTGGGCACCAGCGACGACACGCTCAAGTTCACGCAGATCGAGATTCTGAAGGGGTTCAGGATAGTGCAGATCTCCTGCGGGTGGGACTTCAGTGCCGCGGTCTCTGACTGCGGCAAGCAGTTCGTCTGGGGGAACAACTCGTACACACAGCTGGGGCTCTCGAAGAGCATCACGTGTACGGGGATCCCGTCGAGGCTGCAGGTGTCGCAGAAGTTGGCCACGGGGTTCAGACAGGTACGTGTTGGGGGTATTTGGATGAGGATTTGTGGGGGTAAAGCGTCGTGCCACTTCTTATCTAATCAAAAAAAGATTGGTGTGAGATCAGGAGCTGCCTAAATTGTTTGTAACTGAGTGGTGATAAGAGGTTAATAAAGCATGGGTTTTGCTATCATTTTGGGTTGTTTTTGCTGAAGCGAATTTGGTAGCATGTTGGGGTTTTGACAAGGTCAAGGTTACGCAAGCGTGATGCTTAGGCAGGGATAGTAAAATGGCCGATGTTTTACGTCATTTTTTTATTCAGAGGAATAGAAGCATAATTTTATTAGTGATTTTTATTTCCAATGTTTTAGCACGTTAAAGAAAAAATAATTGTTTTTTGAGAGATTTAAAAATGACTATTTTTCTTAGTGCTCAGTAAATACATGCTTTTTTCTAAAATAAAAACAAAACTTTTTTTTTCCATTTTTTATGTGAACTATAATTATTTTTCCATTGTACTTCGCAAATTGTTAATAAATGAAAAAAATCAACATCAGTAAAATTTTAAAAAATGAAACAATATTCAAAAAACAAAAATGTCTATTTTCAGCGGTTGACCTTCTCTGTGTTAGAAGTTTATTATTCTGAATAACTACCGAATCGGTTACTTTTGGGTTTATTAGGTTAAAAGTCACCAAGGGCCCCCTAAATTGTACCAACTTCAAAAAAAAAACACCAGAGTCCCCCAAGATTATTTGACAATATTAAAGAAAAATATCCAAAAGGGCCCCAGGACTTTTTCGAACTTTTTTAAAAACACCACTCCAAGATTTTTTCTAGTTAAAATAAAAGATATCAAGGACCCCCAAGATCCTTTCAAATTCTTCCGAAAACAAAACATCCGTTTCCTCCAAAATTCCCTAAAATTCTGACAAAAACACAATACCGAGGCCCCCAGGATTTTTCTTTCAAACATATCCAAAAACAAAATACCACAAGGACCCCAGGATTTTTTCGAACTTTTTCAAAAACAAAACTCGAAATTCTCTTAATTTTTTAAAAAAGCACATCAGAGACCCCGAAGATTATTTCGGATTTTTTCAAAATCAAACATGGGTCTCCAGATTCATTAAAATTCTTAAAAAGTAATCAGAGGCCCCCAAGATTATTCCAAACTCTTTGAAAATCAATAACCTGGAAAATCAAAATTGTTTCTAGTTCTTAAAAAAAAAAAACATCAAGGGCCCTCAAGATTCTTTCAAATTCTTTCGAAAACAAGATATCCTATTCCTCCAAAATTCCTTAAAATTCTGCCAAAAATAAAATACCAAGACCCCCAAGATTTTTTCAAATATTTCCCAAAAAAAAAAACACCAAGGGCCCCCAAATTTATTTCACAATATTAAAGAAAAAATACCATAAGGGCCCCAGGATTTTTTCGAACTTTTTCAAAAACAAAACTCGACATTCTCTTAATTTTTTAAAAAAGCACATCAGAGATCCCGAAGATTGTTTCGGATGTTTTCAAAATCAAACATCATGAACCCCCAGTTTCATTAAAATTCTTAAAAAGTAATCAGAGGCCCCCAAGATTATGTGAAACTCTTTGAAAATCAATAACCTGGAAAATCAAAATTGTTTCTAGTTCTTAAAAAAAAACATCAAGGGCCCTCAAGATCCTTTTAAATTCTTCTGAAAACAAAATATCCCGTTCCTCCAAAATTCCTTAAAGTTGTGCCAAAAATAAAATACCAAAGCCCCCAAGATTCTTTCAAATATTTCCAAAAACAAAACACCAAGGGCCCCTAAGTTTTTTTCACCATATTATAGAAAAAATACCATAAGGGCCCCAGGATTTTTTCGAACTTTTTGAAAAACAAAGTTCGAGATTCTCTTAATTTTTTAAAAAAGCACATCAGAGTGTCCGAAGATTCTTTCGGATTTTTTAAAATCAAACATCATGGGCCCCCAGATTCATTAAAATTCTTAAAAAGTAATCAGAGGTCCCCAAGATTATTTGAAACTCTTTGAAAATCAAAACACCTGGAAAATCAAAATTGTTTCTAGTTCTTAAAAAAAAAACATCAAGGGCCCTCAAGATCCTTTCAAATTCTTTCGAAAACAAGAAATCCAATTCCTCCAAAATTCCTTAAAATTCTGCCAAAAATAAAATACCAAGGCCCCCAAGATTCTTTCAAATATTTCCAAAAACAAAACACCAAGGGCCCCCAAGTTTATTTCACAATATTAAAGAAAAAATACCATAAGGGCCCCAGGATTTTTTCGAACTTTTTCAAAAACAAAACTCGAGATTCTCTTAATTTTTAAAAAAAGCACATCAGAGACCCCGAAGATTCTTTCGGATTTTTTCAAAATCAAACATCATGGGCCCCCAGATTCATTAAAATTCTTAAAAAGTAATCAGAGGCCCCCAAGATTATTTGAAACTCTTTGAAAATCAATAACCTGGAAAATCAAAATTGTTTCTAGTTCTTAAAAAAAAAACATCAAGGGCCCTCAAGATCCTTTCAAATTCTTCCGAAAACAAGATATCGCATTCCTCCAAAATTCCTTAAAATTCTGCCAAAAATAAAATACCAAGGCCCCCAAGATTTTTTCAAATATTTCCAAAAACAAAACACCAAGGGTCCCCAAGTTTATTTCACAATATTAAAGAAAAAATACCACAAGGGCCCCAGGGTTTTTTCGAACTTTTTCAAAAACAAAACTCGAGATTCTCTTAATTTTTTAAAAAAGCACATCACAGACCCCAAAGATTCTTTCGGATTTTTTCAAAAGCAAACATCATGGGCCCCCAGATTCATTAAAATTCTTAAAAAGTAATCAGGCCCCCAAGATTATTTGAAACTCTTTGAAAATAAATAATCTGGAAAATCAAAATTGTTTCTAGTTCTTAAAAAAGAAAAAACATCAAGGGCCTTCAAGATCCTTTCAAATTCTTCCGAAAACAAAATATCCCGTTCCTCCAAAATTCCTTAAAGTTGTGCCAAAAATAAAATACCAAAGCCCCCAAGATTCTTTCAAATATTTCCAAAAACAAAACACCAAGGGCCCCCAAGTTTATTTCACAATATTAAAGAAAAAATACCGTAAGGGCCCCAGAATTTGTTCGAACTTTTTCAAAAACAAAACTCGAGATTCTTAATTTTTTAAAAAAGCACATCAGAGACCCCGAAGATTCTTTCGGATTTTTTCAAAATCAAACATCATGGGCCCCCAGATTCATTAAAATTCTTAAAAAGTAATCAGAGGCACCCAAGATTATTTGAAACTCTTTGAAAATCAATAACCTGGAAAATCAAAATCGTTTCTAGTTCTTAAAAAAAAAACATCAAGGGCCCTCAAGATCCTTTCAAATTCTTCCAAAAACAAGATATCCCATTCCTCTAAAATTCCTTAAAATTCTGCCAAAAATAAAATACCAAGGCCTCCAAGATTCTTTCGAATATTTCCAAAAAAAACAGCAAGGGCCCCCAAGTTTATTTCACAATACTATAGAAAAAATACCATAAGGGCCCCAGGATTTTTTCGAACTTTTTCAAAAACAAAACACGAGATTCTCTTAATTTTTTAAAAAAGCACATCAGAGACCCCGAAGATTCTTTCGGATTTTTTCAAAATCAAACATCATGGGCCTCCAGATTCATTAAAATTTTTAAAAAGTAATCAGAGGCCTCCAAGATTATTTCGAACTCTTTGAAAATCAAAACACCTGGAAAATCAAAATTGTTTCTAGTTCTAAAAAAAAACATCAAGGGCCCTCAAGATCCTTTCAAATTCTTCTGAAAACAAAATATCCCGTTCCTCCAAAATTCCTTAAAGTTCTGCCAAAAATAAAATACCAAGGCCCCCAAGATTATTTGACAATATTAAAGAAAAAAATCCAAAAGGGCCCCAGGATTTTTTCGAACTTTTTCAAAAACAAAACTCGAAATTCTCTTAATTTTTTAAAAAAGCACATCAGAGACCCCGAAGATTCTTTCGGATTTTTTCAAAACCAAACATCATGGGCCTCCAGATTTATTAAAATTCTTAAAAAAGAATCAAGGGCTTCTAAGATTATTTGAAACTCTTTCAAAAATAAAACACCTGGAACATCAACATTCTTTCTAAATCTTAAACAAAAAGACATCAAGGGCGGCCCCTAAGATTCTTTCAAATTCTTTCGAAAACAAAACATCCGGTTCCCCCAAAATTCCTTAAAATTCTTCCAAAAACAATATCAAGGCCCCCGAGATTCTTCTTCTTTCAAATTTTTCCGTGAATAAAACACCAAGAGCCTTCAATATTCTTTCAAACATTTCCAAAAAGAAAACACCAGGACCCCCAAGATTCTTTCAAATTTTTCCAAAAACCAAACACTAAGAGCCCCCAAGTTTATTTCACAATATTAAAGAAAAAATACCAAAAGGGCCCCAGGTTTTTTCGGTCTTTTTCAAAAACAAAACACGAAATTTTCTTAATTTCTTTAAAAAAAAAAACACAAATCAGAAACCCCGAAGATTCGTTCAGATTTTTTCAAAACCAAACATCATGGGCCTCCAGATTTATTAAAATTCCTAAAAAAGAATCAAGGGCTTCTAAGATTATTTGAAACTCTTTCAAAAATAAAACACCTGGAACATCAACATTCTTTCTAATTCTTAAACAAAAAGACATCAAGGGCCCCCAAGATTCTTTCAAATTCTTTCGAAAACAAAACATCCGGTTCCCCCAAAATTCCTTAAAATTCTTCCAAAAACAATATCAAGGCCCCCGAGATTCTTCTTCTTTCAAATTTTTCCGTGAATAAAACACCAAGAGCCTTCAATATTCTTTCAAACATTTCCAAAAAGAAAACACCAGGACCCCCAAGATTCTTTCAAATTTTTCCAAAAACCAAACACTAAGAGCCCCCAAGTTTATTTCACAATATTAAAGAAAAAATACCAAAAGGGCCCCAGGTTTTTTCGGTCTTTTTCAAAAACAAAACACGAAATTTTCTTAATTTCTTTAAAAAAAAAAACACAAATCAGAAACCCCGAAGATTCGTTCAGATTTTTTCAAAACCAAACATCATGGGCCTCCAGATTTATTAAAATTCCTAAAAAAGAATCAAGGGCTTCTAAGATTATTTGAAACTCTTTCAAAAATAAAACACCTGGAACATCAACATTCTTTCTAATTCTTAAACAAAAAGACATCAAGGGCCCCCAAGATTCTTTCAAATTCTTTCGAAAACAAAACATCCGGTTCCCCCAAAATTCCTTAAAATTCTCCCAAAAACAATATCAAGGCCCCCGAGATTCTTCTTCTTTCAAATTTTTCCGTGAATAAAACACCAAGAGCCTTCAATATTCTTTCAAACATTTTCAAAAAGAAAACACCAGGACCCCAAGATTCTTTCAAATTTTTCCAAAAACTAAACACTAAGATCCCCCAAGTTTATTTCACAATATTAAAGAAAAAATACCAAAAGGGCCCCAGGATTTTTTCGAACTTTTTCAAAAACAAAACACGAAATTTTCTTAATTTCTTAAAAAAAAACACATCAGAAACTTCGAAGATTCGTTCGGATTTTTTCAAAACCAAACATCATGGGCCTCCAGATTTATTAAAATTCTTAAAAAAGAATCAAGGGCTTCTAAGATTATTTGAAACTCTTTCAAAAATAAAACACCTGGAACATCGACATTCTTTCTAATTCTTAAAAAAAAAGACATCAAGGGCCCCCAAGATTCTTTCAAATTCTTTCGAAAACAAAACATCCGCTTCCCCCAAAATTCCTTAAAATTCTTCCAAAAACAATGTCAAGGCCCCCGAGATTCTTCTTCTTTCAAATTTTTCGATGAATAAAACACCAAGAGCCTTCAATATTCTTTCAAGCATTTCCAAAAAGTAAACACCAGGACCCCCAAGATTCTTTCAAATTTTTCCAAAAACAAAACACCAAGAGCTCCCAAGTTTATTTCACAATATTAAAGAAAAAATACCAAGAGGGCCCCAGGATTTTTTCGGACTTTTTCAAAAACAAAACACGAAATTTTCTTAATTTCTTTAAAAAAAAAAAGCACAAATCAGAAACCCCGAAGATTCTTTCGGATTTTTTCAAAACCAAACATCATGGGGCTCCAGATTTATTAAAATTCTTAAAAAAGAATCAAGGGCTTCTAAGATTATTTGAAACTCTTTCAAAAATAAAACACCTGGAACGTCAAAATTTTTTCTAATTCTTAAAAAAAAAGACATCAAGGGCCCCCAAGATTCTTTCAAATTCTTTCGAAAACAAAACATCCGGTTCCCCCAAAATTCGTTAAAATTCTTCCAAAAACAATATCAAGGCCCCCGAGATTCTTCTTCTTTCAAACATTTCCAGAAAGAAAACACCAGGACCCCCAAGATTCTTTCAAATTTTTCCAAAAACTAAACACTAAGAGCTCCCAAGTTTATTTGACAATATTAAAGAAAAAATACCAAAAGGGCCCCAGGATTTTTTCGGACTTTTTCAAAAACAAAACACGAAATTTTCTTAATTTCTTAAAAAAAAAACACACATCAGAGACCCCGAAGATTCTTTCGGATTTTTTCAAAACCAAACATCATGGGCCTCCAGATTTATTAAAATTCTTAAAAAAGATTCAAGGGCTTCTAAGATTATTTGAAAGTCTTTCAAAAATAAAACACTTGGAACATCAAGATTCTTTCAAATTCTTTCGAAAACAAAACATCCGGTTTCCCCAAAATTCCTTAAAATTCTTCCAAAAACAATATCAAGGCCCCCGAGATTCTTCTTCTTTCAAATTTTTCCGTGAATAAAACACCAAGAGCCTTCAATATTCTTTCAAACATTTCCAAAAATAAAACACCAGGACCTCCAAGATTCTTTCAAATTTTTCCAAAAACAAAACACAAAGAGCTCCCAAGTTTATTTGACAATATTAAAGAAAAAATACCAAAAGGGCCCCAGGATTTTTTCGAACTTTTTCAAAAACAAAAAACGAAATTTTCTTAATTTCTAAAAAAAAAACACATTCAAGACCCCAAAGATTCTTTCGGATTTTTTCATAACCAAGCATCATGGGGCCCCAGATTCATTAAAATTCTTAAAAAAGAATCAGGGGCTTCCAAGATTATTTAAAACTCTTTAAAAAAAAAACACCTGGAACATCAAGATTCTTTCTAATTCTTAAAAAAAGACACCAATCTGAAGGTAGTCGATTCGGTAGTTTCATAGCCGACAACTTAACCTCACCCGCATTCACGCCTCACGAAATCGCACCCCGACAGCCCCCACGTCTCCGTTCCCGCTTGTTCCAGGTCAGCTGCGGCCTGCGCCACTCAGCCATGCTCACCAAAGATGGTGGTCTTCTAGTCGCCGGCACCGGCAGCAAGGGCCAGCTCGGGCTCGGAGACAACTTCGACGACAACAACTACCTGAGCATATCGAAAGTTCCTGAGCTCGAGGAGATCGCTAGCATAGCGAGCGGCCAGCACCACACCGTCGTGATGAAGGAGGACGGCACTGTGTACAGCTGGGGCGAGAACAAGTTCGGCCAGCTCGGCATCGACCCGAACATCTCGAACAGCTTCGTGCCGATGGAGATCCTCCACGACGTGGATTTGGCGTCCGTGTACGCCGGCTGGACGCACACGGCGGCCCTGAGCAAGTCGGGCGAGGTGTTCACTTGGGGCCGCAACACGTACGGCCAGCTGGGGGCGGCGCGGGAGCTGACGCACAAGCCGGAGAAGGTGACCTAAATTTTGTAATTTTCGTGGATAAACGGGGGTTTTTGTCGTTAGGTGCCCGGCCTGAGGGACGTGAGCCAGCTCAGCGTGGGCTCGGAGCACAACTTGGCCGTTACCAAAGAGGGGAAGCTGTTCGTCTGGGGGTGGAACGAGCACGGAAGCTGCGGCACAGGGGACAAGAACGACGTCCTCAAGCCGACGCAGATCTTTGTTGATAGGAAAGTCAAGTTAGCTTTCGCTTGTACCGGTAGTTCTTTCGCTGTTGTCGAATAGCAATAATTTGTAATTCTCATGATTTGATGTGCATAAGTATTTTTATAAAGAATTATTATTAATTGATTATTGTATTCCGTATTTTTATAATAAAATGTGTTGCATGATAGGGGTGGTTTGATTGCTGGGTTGGTACTGTTGGTAGCAGTGACATTGTTTGTATTGTGGTTGCTAGGGGCGACGATGCTGAACACGTTCCGAGCACGGACTAATTGGTAAATATTTGGCTTTGTTTTGTGGTTTTTGCGAAAATATTTGTCTTGATGAGGAGTGACACGGACTTGATAACTTCTGATAATTTGTAAGAGGTTTTGCGGTTTTTTAAACGGGAAGAGTGAGGGAGATGGAGAGCGAGTTCGCGCGGGAGGGACAAAGACAGAGCGATGACTGGACACGAGCGGAAATGATATAAGCACTGTTTTCGACTGTTCGATCAACAAACTATAAATACGCGTTTTATCAATTATTATCAGTGTCTTTTCGAAACGAATTTAGATAATATTGAGCTCTAAATGCGTTTTCGAAAAAATTGGATTTGTCATTTGTGTTATTCGTAACTCATTTTAGTATCTATTTAACTGTGCAGATATTACGAAAATACAGTGAGATAAAATTTTATTCATTTTGACAAAATAATGCCGGTAATACGAGAAAAAAGGCGTTGTAGAACAAGTCCTCGGTAGTATAGTGGTCAGTATCCCCGCCTGTCACGCGGGAGACCGGGGTTCGATTCCCCGCCGGGGAGGCTTTTTTTTTTCTTTATATTTTATAACTAAATTATTTTTTTATCTTTATTAGTAATATTTTATTAATTACAGCTCACGTATTGTCTTTTCCCTGTCATTTTATACCATTTAATTTTTTTACTTACCAGACGTAAGCTAATAAGGTAGCATAGGGTCAGTGGCTACCTTCATGTTTTTTCGACGTGTCATGACCCCTAAAGTACGAAAAAACAGGCCCCTGTGTGCTGTTTTTTGGCAGACAGATAAATTCCGAAACTACTGGACCCATTGTAGTCATCTAAATTCTCTCATTTATAATAATTTAGTTTCCCATCGACCAATAATTTTGAACACCTAAAAGTGCTCTGAAACTGAAAAATCGAAGATTTTAAAATCCGAAAAATTGAAAAAAAAAAGGAAATATTTAAGAACCGAAAAATCGAGAAATCAAAATATTGAGAAATAGAAAATTGTAAAATTTGAAAAATCGAAAAATTAAAAAATCGAGAAATTGAAAAATAGGGAGATCGAAACATTAGAAAATCTAAAAATAGAATAACTGAAAGTTGAAAAATCGAACAGCCGAAAAGTCAAAATATCGTAAAATCCAGAAATGGAAACATCAAAAGATCGAGAAATCAAAAAGTCGAAAAATTGAGAAATCTAAATAGGCGAAAATCGAAAACTTAAAAATTGAAAATTGAATAATGTAAAATTGAAAAAATCGAAAAATTGGAAAATCTAACGTTTTATAAAGTAAAATATGGAATAATTTAAAAATCGAAAAATCGAGAATTTAAAAAATCGACTAATCGAGAAATTGAGACATCTAAAAATTTAAAAATCGAAAATTTGAAGATCTGAAATATTGAAAAATCGTGAAACTAAAACATCGGAAAATTGAGAAATCAAAAATTGGATGAATCGAGAAGTTGAAAATTTTAAAAATTGAAACATTAGAAAATCGTAAAATCAGAAAATGTAAATATTGAAAAATATGGCATTTAAAAAAACTCGAAAAACTGAAAAATCGAAGATTTTGAAATCCGAAAAATTGAAAAAAAAGAAATATTTAAGAACCGAAAAATCGAGAAATCAAAATATTGAGAAATAGAACATTGTAAAATTTGAAAAATCGAAAAATTAAAAAATCGAAAAATTGAAAAATAAGGAGATCGAAACATCAGAAAATCTAAAAATAGAATAACTGAAAATTGAAAAATCGAACAGCCGAAAAGTCAAAATATCGTAAAATCCAGAAATGGAAACATCAAAAGATCGAGAAATCAAAAAGTCGAAAAATTAAGAAATCTAAATAGGCGAAAATCGAAAACTTAAAAATTGAAAATTGAATAATTTAACTATTGAAAAAATCGAAAAATTGAAAAATCTAACGTTTTATAAAGTAAAATGTGGAATAATTTAAAAATCGAAAAATCGAGAATTTAAAAAATCGACTAATCGAGAAATTGGGACATCTAAAAATTTAAAAATCGAAAATATGAAGATTTGAAATATTGAAAAATCGTAAAACTAAAACATCGGAAAATTGAGAAATCAAAAATTGGAAGAATCGAGAAGTTGAAAATTTTAAAAATTGAAACATTAAAAAATCGTAAAATCAGAAAATGCAAATATGTATCTAAAAATATGGCATTTAAAAAAACTCAAAAAACTGAAAAATCAAAGATTTTATAATCCGAAATATTGAAAAAAAAATATTTAAGAACCGAAAAATCGAGAAACCAAAATATTGAGAAATAGAAAATTCCAAAATTTGAAAAATCGAAAAATTAAAATATCGAAAAATTGAAAAATAGGGAGATCGAAACATCAGAAAATCTGAAAATAGAATAACTGAAAATTGAAAAATCGAACAGCCGAAAAGTCAAAATATCGTAAAATTCAGAAATGGAAACATCAAAAGATCGAGAAATCAAAAAGTTGAAAAATTGAGAAATCTAAATAGGCGAAAATCGAAAACTTAAAAATTGAAAATTGAATAATTTAAAATTGAAAAAATCGAAAAATTGGAAAATCTAACGTTTTATGAAGTAAAATGTGGAATAATTTAAAAATCGAAAAATCGAGAATTTAAAAAATCGACTAATCGAGAAATTGAGACATCTAAAAATTTAAAAATCGAAAATTTGAAGATTTGAAATACTGAAAAATCGTGAAACTAAAACATCGGAAAATTGATAAATCAAAAATTGGAAGAATCGAGAAATTGAAAATTTTAAAAATTGAAACATTAAAAAATCGTAAAATGAGAAAATGTAAATATCTAAAAATATGGCATTTAAAAAAACTCGAAAAACTGAAAAATCGAAGATTTTGAAATCCGAAAAATTGAAAAAAAAAGAAATATTTAAGAACCGAAAAATCGAGAAATAGAAAATTCTAAAATTTGAAAAATCGAAAAACTACAACATTGGAAAATTTGAAGAATCGAGAAGTTGATAATTCGAGAAATTGAAAAACCCAACAATTGAAATCCGAAAAGTCGAAATCGAAACATCGAAAAAGTCAAATTAAAATATTGAAAAATTGAAAAATCCGAAAATTGAAGAGTTATCAAAATTGAAATTTTGAAAAAACTAAGAAATCGAAAACTTGAAAAGTCAATAATTCGAAAAAACTGAAACATCGAACAATGAGGATGGCAAAATATTGAAACATTAAAAAATCGTAAAATCAAAAATTCGAACTTTAGAAAAAAATCGAAAAATTAAAAAGTCAAAGCTAAAAATCCGAAAAATTGAAAAATGGAGATCTCGAACATCAGAAAATCGAAAAATAGAAAAGTCGACAAATCGAAAAATCAACATGTCAAAAGATCGAGAAATCGAAACATCAAAAATTCGAAAAATTGAAAAACAGAAACATCGAACTGAAAAATCGAGAATTCGAAAAATCAAAAATTTTAACAACTAAAAAATAAAATATCAAAAAATTTTGAATCGGAAAATCGAAAAATTGCAAAATCAAAGAATCGATTCATCGGAAATTGAAAAATCGATAAATTTTAAAATTGAAGAACTAAAAAATCGGACAAATCGAAGATCCGAAAAGTCGAAAAAACGTAAATCCGAGAAATCGAAACATGAAGAGATCGAAAAGTTGAAAATTAAAAATTTAAAAATTTTAAGTAAAAAAAAAATCGAAAAATTGCAAAACTGAAAATTCTAAAACGGAGAAGTCGGAAAATCGAACTATCGAACTGAAAAACTCGAAAATCTAGAATTCGAAAAATCAAAAATTCAAAAATGGAAAAATTAAAATATCGGAAAGTCGAAAATTCCCAAAACTGAAACATCAAAAAACAGAAATCGAGAATTTAACAAATCGAAACACTGGAAGGTCGGGAAATTGATTAATCGTGAAATTGAGAAACTGAAACATCGGAAAATGGAGAAATCGAGAAATCGAAAATTTGAAGATTCGAAAAATTGAAAAATCCTAAGATTGAAACATCGGAAAATTGAGAAATCAATAATTTGAGGAATCGAGGAATTGAAACATCGGATTATCGATGAGTTGAGAAATTGGGAAATCAAAAAATTTTAAAATCGAAGGATTGAAAAATTGAAAAATGGAAAAATTAGAGTCAAAACTGAGGAATCGAGAATTTTTAAAATCGAAACACGGAAAAGTCGGGAAATCGATTAATCGGAAAATTGAGAAACTGAAACATCGTAAAATTGAAAAGTCGAAAAATCGAACTGGAACATTCAAAAATTGAGATTTCGAAAAATCCCAAAACTGAAGCATCAAAAAACTGAGAAATCGGTAATTAAAAAACTCGAAAAATTGAAACATCAAAACATTGGAAAGTCGAGAAATCAATTTATCGTGAAATTGAGAAGCTGAAACATCGAAGAATTGAGAAATCGAAAACGAAAAAATATGAAAAATCGAAAATATGAAGAATCGAGAAATCAAAAAACGAAAAAATCGAAAATTCGTAAATTAAAATAGATTTTGTAATTTTAAACTTAAATTGTAAAATGTTGTTATCGAAAGATTGAAAAACCCAAAAATTGAAATCCGAAGTCAAAATTGAAACATCGAAAAAGTTAAAAATTAAAATATTGAAAAATGCGAAACCTAGAAAAATCGAGAAATCTAAAAATCGATAAGTCGAAAATCTTTAAACCGGAATGGCACGAAATCGAAACATTAAAAAATCGTAAAATCAAAAATCCGAATCGAAAAATGTGAAATTTGGGGAAAAAACGAAAAATCAAGAATTTAAAAATTCGAAAAATTGAAAAATAGAAAAGTTTAAAAACTGAAAAATGGAAAGATTGAGAAATCGGAAAATATAAAATTAGAAAACTTGGAAAATGGAGATCTCAAAACATCAGAAAATCGAAAAATAGAAAAGTCGACAAATCAAAAAACCGAGAAGTCAACCGAAACATCAAAAAGCTGAAAAATCGAAAATTCAAAAATTCGAAAAATTGAAAAACACAAACATCGGACTG